CATTTTCGTCTCCTTGAATAAAGAGACAGTAGTAACCCCGCATGTTTTTTTTTAACATGTTTTTAGTGATTTTAGAGAGAAAGGAAGGGAGAGGGGGAGATAGAAACATCAATGATGAGAGGGAATCATAGATTGGTTGCCTCCTGCAGGCCCCCTACTGCCCTGACCGGGAATGGAACCGTGACCTCCTGGTTCATAGGTCGGTGCTCACCACTGAGCCACGCGGGCCAGGCTCAGCTAAGTTTAAAGCATCCTGTTCCCAGAGACTGGACAGTCCACGTGGGTCCCACTGGACAGTTACTGCTGGGGGACGGGGCTGGGGGAGCCACACCCCGCATCCTGCCTCCTCTGGGTACCTCGCCCTCGTGCCCTCCAGCCCGGCTCAGCCTGGCCCTGCGAACGTCCTGTGCTGAGGCCGCCTCGCGGCTCCTCACGGCCTTCAAAGCGGCTGCATTCTCAGGTTTTCTCCAGAAAATCCCCGTCCTCCTCCCGCCATGTGATCCCTCTAATGTTCGCAGGGAAGACAGGAAGTGTCTCGCGCCGTGAACAGCTGCGGTCACTTTGTCCCGTCGGTGACGCAAACAGCCAGTCGCTCATTAACACACTGAAACCCGTCCCACGTGGTGCAGGCGGCTTTAGGGAAACCGTGGCCCAGCCTGTGGGCGGGGCTCTGTCCTGTCCGTTCACACGTGCGTGTGGAGCCGACAGTAATCACAGTGCCAGGCGGGACCGGCTAGGCTGAGCAGTGCCCTCCGTGTCGCGCCGGCTCCTCCAGCCCGCAGACGCTCACGCGCAGGCAGGCGCAGGCCTGATTGCCGTAATTCCTCTCACGCTGTCATCTCTCAAGTCCTAATTAAGAGCTGCAGTGGGTGTGAGCGGGCTGTTACATTCACACAGAGCTCCGCCGCGTTCCAATGCATTGCATCTTGATTGCGGATTTGTGCCTCCTACGGCCCGAGGCTAATTTTTGGGTTTCCTTTTTGGCTTGCAAATGACTGCCAGGACGGGTCCAGACGCTCGCCGCATTCCAGGTGCCGGCGGTAATTAGGCGTGTGGTTAACGTAGCGGTGTATTCACCGAGATGGCTCCGTCACGGGGAATACGGACCGGCAGCCTCTGCTGCATCTGGACAGTTAGCTGGCCTCAACGTGTGTCCCCACATTCTCCTGCCATAGACGTGCCAGTCCAGCCCCTCGCAGACCTAAAGGCATGTCCTGAGGGTCAAGGTCATTGGCTCCGGGTCTCGGGGGGACAGACGGGAGGAGGCGCACTGGCATCCGCTTTGCACCTCCAGTCCCTCTGGAGCACCTGGCAGATTGGGCTGCGGGCTGTCAGCACAGCAGCTGGGCTGGGACTGGCTTAGCCGTCTGGCTGGGAGGGGTGTTGGAGGGGCAGCGTAGGATGTGGCCTTGTGCACACGATGGAGATAAATCTGCGAGTTTGGGCGCAGCGTCCTCCCGAGAGCATCCTCCCTACAGCGTCTCCCCTGACATTGTCCCCCGACAGCATACCCCCAAAAGCGTCCCCAGACAGTGTCCCCCCACAGCATCCCCCCTGACAGTGTCC